CCTCATCTTGTAATGTTGTTGCCGGCGCCCGGACCCGCCTTAACGTAGAATATATGTTGGAGGTTTTAGGCCCGGAGCCAGATGTCAGGTTCCGACATCTGGCTTCTGAGACATTTAGGTTCTCAGGCTTGGGGCCAGGTACTGGAACCAGTTAAGTTATCAGGTTTTAGGGATGGGTTCTGGAAAAAGTTATCAGGTCTTGATAATTTAACGGGGAAGGTTGATGTGGAGGAAAGAGGTCATGACCTCTCCGTAGGGTGCAGTCGCACCTCCACAGATCTCCAGTATCAGCTATTGATACTGGTAATGGCTCCAAAGGGCCACCACTTACGGGCTATTCATGCCCGTGCCACCTTTTGGGTGACTTAATCTTCATCAATCAATCAATCTGTGGAGGGAGACATTGAAGAGTGGATGAGAGAGGCCTAGGCATAGTCGACCTTAGATGGGGACCAATCAAGCTTTGCTCACACAATTTTTGTTATTTTTTACCTTAGTGTATAATCCAATTACCCGTTTTCTGTGGAATAACTGTTGGTACCTTTTGGGGTAAAAATGCTTACCTCTTGTTCATATTCTGTATATTTTGATATTATCAAGATAGTCCATCTTGATAATACATTTTTTTGAGAGAGGGGAAGTGAGAGGAAGAGGGGCTGAGGGGCTTTGGGAGGGGGGGGGGGGCAGAGACGACCAATCCTCAAGACGCTTTCATCAATTTTAACACAATGCACGTGTATTAAAAATAAGTTTATTCTTATATAAGTTAATTTTATTATATATTTTTTGCATAGTTAAGTTTACGTTAGGTTAGGTGTTTAGGCTCTGTTGGCGATTATTTGTATATGAAGTACGTGGCCGAAGCATTACGAAAACAAACTTATTTTTAATGCACAATATGTAAAATTGATGAATGCGTCTTAATAGCGGGATGGTCGCACCTTTAACGAGTCTGGCCTGAGGACAAGTTGGTGTAGTGTGGCTGCATATAATCACTTCTGGCCTTTGTTGATGAAGATGGGCTGCAATTTATACTATACCCCAAAAACTGTGCTTAACTATATATATATATATATATATATATATATATATATATATATATATATATATATATATATATATATATATATATATATATATATATATATATATATATTAGATTATATATATATATATGTCGTACCTAGTAGCCAGAACGCACTTCTCAGCCTACTATGCAAGGCCCGATTTGCCTAATAAGCCGAGTTTTCCTGAATTAATATATTTTCTCTAATTTTTTTCTCATGAAATGATAAAGCTAACCATTTCATTATGTATGAAGCCAATTTTTTTTATTGGAGTTAAAATTAACTTAGATATATGACCGAACCTAACCAACCCTACCTAACCTATCTTTCTAGGTTAGGTTATGTTAGGTAGCCGAAAAAGTTAGGTTAGGTTAGGTTAGGTAGTCGAAATACTATTAATTCATGAAAACTGGGCTTATTGGGCAAATCGGGCCTTGCATAGTAGGCTGAGAAGTGCGTTCTGAGAAGTACGACATATATATATATATATATATATATATATATATATATATATATATATATATACATATATGTCGTACCTAGTAGCCAGAACGCACTTTTCGTTCGTACCACAGAACTGCGAACGAACGTACGCAGAAGTGCGTACTGAGAAGTACGACATATATATATATATATATATATATATATATATATATATATATATGTCGTACCTTGTAGCCAGAACGCACTTTTTGGCCTACTATGGAAGGCCCGATTTGCCTAATAAGCCAAGTTTTCCTGAATTAATAATATTTTCTCAAATTTTTTTCTTATAAAATGATAAAGCTACCAATTTCATTATGTATAAGGTCAAATTTTTTTTATTGGAGTTAAAATTAACGTAGATATATGACCGAACCTAACCAACCCTACCTAACCTAACCTAACCTATCTTTATAGGTTAGGTTAGGTTAGGTAGCCGAAAAAGTTAGGTTAGGTTAGGTTAGGTAGGTTAGGTAGTCGAAAAACAATTAATTCATGAAAACTTGACTTATTAGGCAAATCGGGCCTTGCATAGTAGGCTGAGAAGTGCGTTCTGGCTACTAGGTACGACATATATATATATATATATATATATATATATATATATATATATATATATATATATATATATATATATATATATATTGTTGAATATGACCGAAAAGAAAGACAACAACAACATATGTTTACAAGAAAGACTATCAAAATATACTAATGTATATATATATATATATATATATATATATATATATATATATATATATATATATATATATATATATATATATATATATATATAAGGAGGTACATTGGGTTTATGAGAGTACATAGCTTTGATGTTTGTACATTCTTGTAAAGCCACTAATACGCATAACGTTTCGGACAGGTCCTTAATCTAGTAGATAATTTTAAGTCGGTAATTTCTAGCAAAATTGAAAAATGTTAGCAGGTACATTGTACAAAATTTGAAGAAGATTAGTAGGTATATTATAGTAAAATTTAAAGATTAGTAGGTACATTATAGTAAAATTTAAAGATTAGTAGGTACATTATAGTAAATTTTAAAGATTAGTAGGTACATTATAGTAAATTTTAAAGATTAGTAGGTACATTATAGTAAAATTTGATGATTATCAGCAGGTACCTTGTAGCATAATTTGTGGATTAATTCTTGGTATATTGTAGTAAAATAGCGTTCAATATAGCGACCATGATATAAGAAGATAGCAATGATAACAGTGATGAAGTTATATGGCTTAGGCACATATAATGGGGGAGTGGGTAGCACAAGACACCCAGTGCGAGTTTAAAGGACTAGACAGGAAACTATGAGGATAAAATGACTGTAGGTACTTTTTTTTTTACTTTTGAATTAGTGTCTTATATATATATATATAACAAACAGTTACTTTACCTACTATCTAACCACTTTGACATTTCCAATGTATTATCTATTGTATGAATAAATTATTATTATTATTATTATTATTATTATTATTATTATTATTATTATTAAATTGGTTTTACGTGCATTAAGCTTTATTTAGTTATTTTACTTTAGTTTACTCCTAAATAGTTTTTAATGATTATCAAATATGAAACATAGAAAACGTAAGTAACTTACAGGCTTTTGATAAGGCATCTTAATATTTACCTGTTACCCGAGGGTCATTGTCTCCAGTGACCTCGACGAGGACAGGAAGCCGGTGACTTGTCGAAGGTCCTCCAATTTTCCTGATGATTTTGTCGAGCTTGGTGTACGAAATTAAGTGATTTGTTTAATATATAAATAAATAAATAAATAAATAAATATGTTTATTCAGGTAAGGTATATACATACAAGTGATGTTACATTAATGGATTGATATATAGATAGAGCTAGTACATACAATGCCTAAAGCCACTATTACGCAATGCGTTTCGGGCAAGAAAAACATTAATATCTAGAACTTAATACTAATTGAGCATAAAGAATAAAAAGTGTTGAGAACAAATACAAATAAAGATAAAAAATAATTATGATCGCATTAAAATGCAACCCGTCCTCTTACAAATTACGTCGCTTTTCGCTCGTATGCGCACTCAGGGTAAAAATCGACGTAATTCAAATTGAAATCGGGCTTATGGAAGTGACGTACTGTCCCGTTTTCTGTTTTGGATCCTCTGGCTTAGGCTGTTAGGTAAGTAGAGGAAACGTTCAATTAACAGTTTTCATGACGTTCTGAACCCTTAGGAGAACTTCCTGCCCTCCTAACGGACCAGAGGATCCTTAACTTGCTGTTTTGGAAAAAAAGGCCCAAAATTTAAATGGAAAATATATTTCCATTTTGAATTACGTTGATATTTTTTTGATTGATTACGGTGGTCATTGGATTACGGTGAAGAGGTCACTTTTGAAGTGACCCTTTCTCTTGGTGGCCCTCATTCCTTTGATACCCCTCTACCTTTTGATGCCCTTTTCCTTTGATGCCCTTTTCCTTTGATGGCCCTCTTCCCTTGGTGCCCTAAGGCACGTGCCTATATTCAATGTTTAATCCAGGACTGACTCACTGGAAAGGTATGTGGTGAGGAGCCGAGCACAATAAACTAGTTTACCTATACATTAAACCAAACATCTTTTCGTTATATTTTCACGCTTAATGTACTTACTAGGTTAGATTTAGTTATGTTAGACTGGGTTAAGCTAAGGTGAGCTCTGGTGGCTGACTCATCACCCTATTTCGAATTGTCTTGGTATCCAGACTGCATTCTGGAAGGCAAATTATTTGATTTAATTTTGTTATATTTTTCAGCTACCCTCTTCTGTACGAGGTATCACAGATCAAGAGCTGCAGCTATGAGTTCATCTAATATCCTTATCGCAGGATGGGTACATGGTATTAAAGAAAGACATGGGTTGTATTAGCCTGAAGTAGCAAACTTTATTTGGGTAGAGTATGATAATATCGTTAAGTCTCCGGGAGTGAGAGGAATGTTCTGGGGAAACCATTCGGTCTCTTTATAACTATTTCTTATAAAATATAATAACTATTTCCGTCTTATTTTTGTTTCAGAAATTTACTTTTGAATTTTATCTTTGCGCTCAAAGAACTTCAGAAAAGATTTAATAAACATTGCATTAAGTTAAAATTTTCAGAATATGGAAAATATATATTTTTTTCATTAGCAAGTTTATATAAGGTACACACCCCACTGTTGCTACCCACAGTCTTTGCGAGAGGTTACAGTCGGTCAAACGCTTTATACTTGTTAGTGGCATTGCAAGAATATACCATTTATACACCAGAATATATACTGACACAATCCATCATACCTTCGTGCAATGGATAGATAAAATACACCAATAAATAGAAGCTAAGGTTGACCGTGACTGGAAAGAGATGTTGACCGGGGCGCCACGGGGGATGGAGGGAGGGAGGGAGAGGGTCGGGCTCCCAGAGATCAGTATGTGCCCAACCGCCAGGTGAGGAGGAGGTCGCTGCTGCCGGTGCGTCGAGAACCGCGTGTCGCACGCTCTTACAACCCCCTTCCCTCTCTCACCCTATCCTCGCATATAACTATCGCATTGTCTACTCTCTCGCGAGAACCTTTCCTGCCGTTGTAAGACCGCTAGAAGTTTAGAATCAAGCCAAGAGGTTATAGATGGTTGAAATAAAGCAGAGGAAGCCCACCGAGTGAGGGTTTGAATTGGTGTGAGAGGAGGAGGTCCGCAGGTAGTGGAGGCTGCCAATCACAGCCTCCGCCTCCCAACATCTCATTAGCCGGTTATCGCAGTAATTGAAGCGATATTTATAAAGGTAAGCTTCATCTTGATTGTTTTGTGGGTAGCAGTTGCCTTCTCATGCCAAGGATACTTCGCCAAGCATACATTTGAACATGGAAAATCTACGGTTCTGAACTCAAAAGGAAAAGAACATATATATATCTCTGTATATATTTTCATAAGTATTCAGGCCCGCTAGATATCAGCTTAACAAACTGAAGCTACGAAATCAAATCTTGAAAGGGATCTTGGTGTTATGACTATCAAATAAGAAGCAAAGACTTATCCTTATGTCAATTTTCTTGTTTAATGAATTATTCACTTAAGAGAGCGTTAAGCAACGGCCCAGCCACTTGTACCCAGCTGCGCCTGGGTACAAGTGGCAGAATGAACACCCCAGCGGGTGTTCTTCCTTTCAGCGGGTGTTCTTCCTTTTAGCGGGTGTTCTCCCTTTTAGCGGGTGTTCTTCCTTTTAGCGGGTGTTCTTCCTTTTAGCGGGTGTTCTCCCTTTTAGCGGGTGTTCTCCCTTTTAGCGGGTGTTCTTCCTTTTAGCGGGTGTTCTCCCTTTTAGCGGGTGTTCTCCCTTTTAGCGGGTGTTCTTCCTTTTAGCGGGTGTTCTCCCTTTTAGCGGGTGTTCTCCCTTTTAGCGGGTGTTCTTCCTTTTAGCGGGTGTTCTTCCTTTCAGCGGGTGTTCTTCCTTTTAGCGGGTGTTCTTCCTTTCAGCGGGTGTTCTTCCTTTTAGCGGGTGTTCTTCCTTTTAGCGGGTGTTCTTCCTTTTAGCGGGTGTTCTTCCTTTTAGCGGGTGTTCTCCCTTTTAGCGGGTGTTCTTCCTTTTAGCGGGTGTTCTTCCTTTTAGCGGGTGTTCTCCCTTTTAGCGGGTGTTCTTCCTTTTAGCGGGCGTTGCTCCTGTTGCTGTGGCTGAGTGTTCACTCGCGGGCTGAGTGACGTTGTTCATTAAACTCGCCCTTGGGGGGGGGGGGCAAAAAATGTCCTTGAGAATCTCCCCACATAAGTTAAGCAGTATTGGGCACCGTACTCACCAAGATACACTCACCTAGACGTGCTTCCAGGGTCGAGCATCGGTTCCTATCCCGCCTTCCAAGCATCCTCAGTTCTCAGACAGTAACTAATGTAAATTTTGTTCAATGTGTATAGAGAAGGATGGCCAAGTTATCTTAGGCATTAGAAACCACCAGTATGAAGATATATTTAAGTTTGATTTAGTTTAGTTCATGTGCTGATGGAGCTCGTCCTCCTAAGGTTTCCTAACGCCAAGAAACTGTCGTACTCTAGTGCCCTTATCCTAACCTACCAGAGGACCCAAAACAGAAAATGGAACAGTATGCATGTCCATTTCGCGAGCCGCTACCATTCTCTAGTACAACAATATTTAGCAATAGATAGAGTATACGCTAAAATGTGACGTTCTATTAAGACAGTATAAAAGGTTTCACGGCCACATATTGGGTTCAAACCTAACCCCAGTTTTTTTTTATTTAAGCATTGATGAACTAGTTACAGAGATTGCTAACATATACATCAACAGTATAATCACAGTTTATCAGAGTAACATTATCGTGATACAATTAAAGAGGCCCTAACACGACGAGACAAAACGAAATTAAAATATAATTTTCGCTCATTTCGTTAGTTTATTGTAGCCTCTGCGGGCGAGTGATTTCACTATCATATCATTATAATGGGTTCAGGTAGTGGTCCATAAAGAGCTTTAAGCCAAACAATTCACATTTTTGGTTAGCTAGTTATATTACTTTGATTAGCCTACCATGCACCCTGTCTCCATCTAGTGGGCGGCGGGTGAAAAGGTTAGTCACATGCAGCACTGCACACAGTACTCGACTTGGAATACTTAACAACGATTTAAGGTGATGCAGGGCGTACAAATAGCTTTAATACCAGTTTGTTTTATTTGTGTTATCACGGATTATACAATCATGGTTATCCGTGATAACCATCATGATAACCTCGTGATCCATGAGCTGCCCCACCTGGCACAGTTTACATTTGGTCAGGTCTTGCCTGGTAGATAATGTAATCTCCCGGATATATTTATAATCGAGTCTAAGCCGAACAGTTGTTACTTCTAGGAGTTTGCTGATTTTATTCTTCGATCCATAGACGTGTAAGAATATTTGTATGGTTATATAATACAGGGAAGAGCTAGTGTAGATTTCACTGTGTCTCATATTTACAAAGTTTTGCTGGAGTTCTTTGAATGTACGTTGTATCTAGAACTATCTCACCAGTTCTATCATACGTCTGAAGATGGAATCCTCGTGAAATTGACTCCTTTTCTTACCATCATTAATAATTTGTTTGCATCTGAGTCTATCTTTAGATATAAACATGTTACAATTGTATCTTAAAGAGTTGAGCTCAATAAAGGATCATAATTACTTACAATTAATGGGTCCATTGTTGAGTCATTTACACATTTAAGCGCAAGGAGTATGGCAAATAATGTAGTTGGGTCTGAAGGGTAGAGGCCTATTTACTTACAAGGACTCAATACACAAAATACGAGCCATCATTTGCACTAGTCTTTACAACGACGACCTCACGTCATGCAGGTTGGCGTTCGATTCCCGATGGTTCAAGTGGTTGGACACCATTTCTTTCCTCTGTCTTTTCTCTTTGTCGGCATATCCATTCCAAGTGCTATATATAATCTTACTGGCTAAGCGGTTTCTCCTTATAATTATCTTGCCGCATTGTCAAGACAGCTGCACCTCCAGCAGAATCAGGGGGCGGTGTAAGGAACCATCGGTGAATATGGTTTATGAGTGTTGTGAGCAGAATGAGTCTGGCTTAAGGCGTTGTACTTTTCTTTGCAAACGAAGCTTGGGCTGATCCTTAATTTGCTTCTTTGATGGGAAGGGTGGGATGAAATGTACATTTCTTGAATATTTGTTCAAGAAATTAAGAGATACAATTATCTCTTATTTTTTTATATTCATTTGCATAATGAAGTAAGAGGTATGCGAATAGTTTTCTTGTTAGATTACATTTGGTCAGATCTACTTCATCAAGTCGTGTAGACTCCTAGTGGTACTTGTAACTGAGGCTAAGCTGCAGACTTGGGTGGGTTGTCAGGTCGAGGTGTGGCGTTTGCTGAGATTTCCATCATCTTGATTTCCTTCGAGGGCAGTCAGGGGAGACAGCTGTATGTTGGTAGTTGCAGAGGAGACATTTTTCGTGGGTGGTTGTGAAGGCAGAGTAGTGGTGGTCCTCTGCGTATATGCTGCACTTCGGTGCGCGCAACGTGCACTTGTCGGTGTAGTGAGAGTACTGATAACACCTGAAGCATTGCTTCAGTTCCATTGTTGTTTAAGATTCAGCTACTTGGAACAAAAAGTTCCAAGTAGCACCGGCTATGGTGAGACCGTAATGGACTTACCTGGGACAGGAGCGGGGCTGTAACTGTTCAGCTCCAAGTATCGTTCTTTCTTCACTAGGTCGGATGGTGTGGTGATTCCGAAGCATCGGAATTCGCAGTTTGTGGCGAGGTCGGCCGCGGCATCTGTGGAGAAAGACATCTTCAAGGTCGGGCACCGGGTCTCGTCGCTGGTGATGAGTTTTGCCGTGGTAACCGTCATGTCAGGGTTTTCTAAATTGATGCTGGTGATGATATCGGTGATGTCGCGGTCCGTGATCCATGAGCTGACCCTCCTGGCAAAACCCGTTTGACCAGCTATGTATCATCGTGGTGGATTGAGAGTAAGGTTAGTGGCCCGCAGAGCTGCCAGTGTAGGGGTCGTGAACAATTTCTCAAGGTCACTTTCACTGGAAAAAAAGTGTCGCGCCATCGCGGGTGCCGGCTATGTCGGCAGGTGAGATTTGGGCCGTGTTGTTGATTGCCTGAAGTACTTCAACTTTGGCGAGGACTTGGTTCTCCGGAAAGCGTACTTTAGCCTTATACCACAGATGCCTATACCATAGATGCTTAGGCTGGTAACTTGTCCTAGATGTTACTCCCTCTACGGGTCGTAGTGGCCTTATACCATTTACGCTGTGTTCCTATGAATGCCCGGCTTCACAGCAAATCTATTGCCATGAGTAACCACCTCCTCTTCAAACCACCTGGATAGTTGTGTAGGTATTTGTTGAAAGGGCACGGGTCTGCAAGCCGTACCCTAGAGTACGAACTCATGAAACCCGTTCGTACTCTCTTATTTACAGCATAGGTACGTTACCTTAAACCATAGATGTAGAACCAATATGCATTTATAAACACTTTAAACACCAGAATGACCATGTGGTAATATTTTTGTACCATATTTTTGCATTGGCGGGACTCTTAAAAACAATCAAAGTGCGTGCATTACATTTATTTAAACACAGGAAAAGGAATAATACACAAATAAGGGAAAATCTCTCGCTCACCAGATTAACGATTACAGTTCCAGTCACTCAGATATAAATGGATCTTCAATCAATCAATCTCACACAGTAGCTCAGGAGCACACACCACACAACCTGTGTGTGTGGAGTCTCAGCCCGCTCTCCCTCGTGGAGTGTTGTTGTTATAGATTCAGCTACTCGGAACAAGTTCCAAGTAGCACGGGCTATGGTGAGCCCGTAACTTACCTGGCACAGGAGCGAGGCAAGTAGCACGGAATAACAGAGATTATTCTCTAATTATAACATATTGCATTATAAATCGTTTTAGAATATATAAAAGTGAATACTGAAAAGTTAGCTTAGAAGAATTTGGGTGTCTGTAAACGGAATTTAAGGGCACAATGAAATAGTTTTCGAATTCCATATTTCACATTATCGTCAATAATACGCCTTATTTACATAACCAAATTCAATGAAACCTAACATAACCTGACCAATGACGCTCGGAATATCAGGTTCCATGATCGTACGGCCTCAATAATTTTTCATTGATATGTCACATTCTTTTGATTTGATCGTGTGTTTTCCTTCCTCATATTAAGTATACTACTTATACTAGTGTCATAGTTTTTAATTTTATCAAGCCATCCAATCAATCTTTTAATTGCTAAA